TTAAAATAGTGGTCCGTCCGTTTCTTCGTCAGCAACAACGACAACACGGTGTCGTCCATGTCGTGCGGGAACACCAAGAAGGCGAGTATCCTGCTGGTGAGGAAGCTCTACACTCTGATGCAGAACCTCGGCCCTCTGCCTGACAAAGTTTGTCTCAACATGAAGCTGTCCTACTACAACAACGGTCAGACACACACACACACACACACACACACACACACACACACACACACACACACACACACACACACACACACACACACACACACACACACACACACGATACATTCCTGTTAGGCTGCTCCAGACGTCCCATAATCCTCTTTGTTTGATCATGTTACTCTATTATCTGGAGGCAGCCAATCGATGGAATTTGATATATTTAAGTATCTAATTTATTCAACTTAATATACTACATTGCGTACATATGTTGTCATTGAATTGCACAGAAACGGACCAATCACAACTCACAACAGTTCATGTATTGCTGTATCTGCCATTAGAGCTGTCAATGTCTTTTGGTTGACTGCAATATCTCAACAAAATGTGGATTGTGAGGAAGACAATATTCCCCCTCAGGATGAGCTGTAATAACTTTAATGATCTTCTGGTTTTTCATGTAGTGCCATCAACTTCTCAACATTTAAACGTGTTCACGACTGGTTTTTGACCCAATTATGAGCTCTTGAACTCTGTTAAAATATGCTAATTTGAGCATGCTAACACCTTTAACTTAGATGGTGATGATGGGAATTATTAATAAAATCTTCCTTTGTGTTTTCTGACCAATCAGAGCTGATGGGGACGATGGGCTTCTCTCAGGAGGAAGTGAAGAAGGCGCTGGAAGGTCAGAAATACAATGAGATGACGGCGATATACCTGCTGCTGGGGAGGAAAACTGCAGAGGTTTGTTCAATAAACCGTTTTACATTTAGTCAAATCTTCCTGGTTGCTCAAGAATCTCACATTTTGGTCATCACTTAGATTTTGGATACAATTTAGATACATTTCTGTTAAGGCTAGGTTAGCACAAACACTAGAAGTAAGCCTAACTTCATCCAGTACTGTATGTTGCATGTTTTTATTTGATTGTATTTACTTGTTTAAACATGAAATGTGTCTTTAGGTTGACTTCCAACATCTGTCCAGGGACTACAGATGAAAAATAGAAATGTTACAATAACAACAGTGTTACAGAAATGTTGATTGATGTGCACTGTCCCTGTTAAAAATCAAAGGAAGAAAAATCGACCTTCTAAGCACTCTGTCTGTAACTGAGCAGGGCTTTTACCCAGAATCCTCTGCTGTGTCTCTCTCAGTCTGAAGGCGGTGATACTCTGTCCAGTAACCTGCTCCAGAGGTCACGGCCCAGCAGCGACCTCAACGGCTCCAGTCAGTCGCCCGCACACTCTCGCAACACATCGACCAATCAGAAGCAGCGGCGCTTCAGCGACCACGGTGAGTTTCTGTCCAGGCGTCAAAATCTCATAAAGGGTTACAGCGGATCTTTAAAAGTCTTAACACGTGTTGAAACCAAAAAGACACACGTTTCAGCCAAAACTAAAAGGCAACATTGGTTTTAAAATATCTCTGAAAGAAAGATAAAAAGTATTTTAAAATGCTAACCAAGTAGAATGGTATTTATTTACTTATTATATGTGACCCGCTCTATCGAAATCAGTTGGAAGTCGAAACGGCTCATTTCAAAATAAACGTGGATTTGCGTAAAAAAAATAGTTTTTCGGGGTTCTGGTGTTTTATTTGATTTTAAATAAACAAAGTCTTGGCTTTCAGAATATGAAACTTTTATTTCCAAATTCACACGATAAATACATTTTTGAAGCTCGTAAAGGGAAGATGACAGCTCTCACTCTGCTGTTCCGCAGCGCCGCTCCCCCTCCCTCCGGCTGAATTTATGAATGCAAGGCGTATAGTAATCATAACACGGCAGGGTCCGTTACAGTTTGTTTTCATCTGATTTCAAATAAACAAAGTCTTGACTTTCAGAATATTAAACTTGTTTCGGGAAATTCAGATGATAAATACAGGTTTGAAGCTTGTAACGGCATAACAAGCGGAGAACGGAGTAACTTGACGTCACAGCAGGCATAACAACAACCGGTGTTTCTCATGAGGGTTTTTCCCGGGAAACAAACACAATACACACAAACGCAAAAATACACACACACACACGTATACACACACACACTCGCGAGCTTCCCCCAGACCAGTAATCCAAACGAAAATATCTTCC